CCCCAAAACCCCAAAACCCCATGGATAGCAATTTGATTATTATAATATTCAGTAAATTATAAGAATAAAATTAAATGAACCTTCATGGTACTACTGGTGGCCCCAGAACTTTGTGTAGTTTACAATTGTAATTTTTAATAAATATTTTTAGATGCTCGCGAGAGCATATCTTCGCCTATGGCCTAAAGAGAGGGTTCACCCAAGACACCTTTTTCAGCGACTATGCTGTAAAGATTAGTTCTTTAATAGAATCTTATGTTTGGAAATAAGTATCAGGCACTTTCGCCAAAAGCCTAACAATAAAAAGAAACGGAATTCCCTCATATGCCCAATATAAATTAGAAACAAGTGAATTATCTCTTACAAAAAAAGAAAGAATCATTGGCATTTACTTCAAAGAGTGGACTTAATTCGCCTACTTCACCTAAAGTTCATTTGCATTAAGAATTCGAGTAAATGACAACTGATTAAAGAGTTTAAACAGCTAGAGAATATTACAATCTGATTGAAAAAGAGCCCATATTTCAATCTAAGTCTAGACTAAAACCTGTTACCTCTGAGTCTATGTTCCGTGAAGCCATTCCTGAATTTAAATTCTAACCAGGTGATAGCCAATTCCTCTCTAAATTAAAATTTAATAAGACCCCTTTCAGTAAATTTGAGAGTGCTAGGAACTCATAAGCTTCATTAAATATTGACTTAGTTTAAGCTGGCTACTTGACTTAACGAAACGGAAGTTAATCCAATGAATTTTAAACTTTCACTCCAAGAATAGGGGCTTAAACTTCAGGTATGAACAGTAGCAACTTAAATCAGGTATAAGAGAAATAAACTACTGAGAGAAACAGTAAATTCACAGATAATACCTTTGCTAATCATGGCTATTACAAACTTTGGAGAGATGGGAGTCTAGATCAGGCTACTAGAGCAAAAGTTATTGAAAAACTCAGGTAAACTAAATAAGAGAATGACAGAGAGAAAAGAGAGATTAGAAATAGAAATAGATCTGAAAAAGCACTTCGAATAAAGATGATGATGAGCTAGCTTGACATTAGACAAAAAGATTTAAATAAAGAACTAAAGTTCCATCACTTACCTATAAATTAAATAGCAAATGAACTAAAAGATATTTCAACTATGAAAAGCTTTATCAAATCAGTGATAAAAATATAAGCCCTAGCTAGAATGGTGATTAATAGAGCCAGATATAGGAAGATTAATAGTTATTACCATTAAAAGGTTAGATATTTATAAGGATTTTTTAGAGCAAGATATTAATACAAATACTTCAGAGCTAAATTCATTATGAAGAGAGAAAAAGCTATACGGGTGATATAGAAGTATGTTAGAGGGTTCATAGTAAGAATTAAAAATCTGATTGAAAATAGAAGATTGTAAAAGTTTAAGCAAAATCTTGACTTTCTAGAGGAAATGAATCGTAAGTAAAGAGAAATTTAGTAAAAGGAACTTTAAGATGAACAAGAGCGACTTAGACTTTTGAAATAGTAAGAAGATCATTAAAAGCAACTTTTGGAAGTAGAAGCAGCATAGAGATTGATTAAAAAAGACTCACTTAATCCTGCAAGTCCAAGATACAGTCGTCACAAATCAACCTCAGCAAACTAGAAAAAATAAGGTGCCCGATAGTCAGCGACACTTTAGCCTATTAACATGAAGAAATTTAGAGCCGATGTTCAATCAATGATTGTAAGTGATAACTTGATTGAGAAACTGGACTTGTCTAGCAACAATTAAACTCTAAACAATAATTAAGACAACTCAAAGGAAAGCCCGGGATCTAGAGGTAATGATGACAAAATTGAAGAGGAGCCAATAGACGCTGAAAGCTAAGATTCTAATTAAAACTAGGGTTCTGGATCAAACTAACCTAAAGAGATTATTCAACCGCCAGATCTATTTGTTAAGCATGATCAATCAGATAACCATCAGTTAGATATTTACGATATAAAGAGATATGAATCCTTAGAAAATGTTCCAAACTATATGAGAGCAACTTCAAGTCTTAAATGTAAAGAAATGGATTTAGACTATGAGAAGATTCATGAGTTGAAAAAGAGGACTAAGATCACTAATAATATGATGAGTAAATAAGAAATTGAGTAAGTAATTGATCTTGCTCAAGAATAGTATCAGGTTTGTGCTATCTCGTCAAAATCTCAAAGCAGGGGGTAGTCTAAGCAATCTCGATTCAACTCGAATAATTACTAGAGTAGAAATTCATCTTCATAAATTCAAAAAAGAGATACAAGTGAATAAGATAAGATTGGAGGATGTAGTAAGGACTTGATTTCTTCTATTAAAGAAGATTTTTTGGCAACATCTAAGGAACTTAAACTTATTTTAAAATAATAGAGTGATGAAAATAATAAAAATGACATTATAAGAGTAGGCACATAAAGAGAGGCGTCAGAGTTATCATCAGAGAAAGAAGGCTTCGATTAAAATGAATTCCTTGAAAATTCAGCTTACGGATAAAAGCCTGCTCCAAACAGCATCACTAATGATCTTAAGATTAATAAGTAGTCCAAAAGTGAAGACAAATAAATATAGAAAAGATAGCCCAGAAAAAAATTGAATAATAATAAGAACCATAAAGTCGATGAGTATGTTCAGACTAATAATAACGATTAAGAATTCGAGGTAATATCTTCTCCAAAGTTTGATAGTATTAGCCAAAAGAAAGTTTAGAAGGATAGCAAGGAAATATAAGTAGAGATAATCAAATCCAAATATTAGTACCTAAGCTCTTCAAAACTCATAGTTTTACCTAACTAAGGATAAGATTATAACTAAGATGTGATAGATTTTACAACTCTAACTCGAGGACTAAGAAAAAAATATTTAAGATCAAACTTAGTGTATGATAAATTTGTTTCTAGTACAGTCAAATATGAAAAAGACCCATTAAGATTCAAATGTCAAATTGTCCATAACAATGAGCCTTTCATAAGCGAGACTCCTTCTGATATTTTAGCTTAAAATTTCTTCACTCCAAATGAGCTATTTTATGTATATAATCATGGTCCAGTTCCTAGATTAGTGGAGGAGGAATTCTCACTATATGTTCTAGGTTAAGTGCATAGACCATTAAGATTAACTCTAGAAGCTCTTAAAGTAAGATTCCCAAAGGCCCATATCTCTGCAACATTAAAATGTGCAGCAAATAGAAAGAAAGAATTTGATTAAGTTAAATTTATTGAGTAAGGAACTTAAGGCAATAACAAATTTGGAGTTGGAGGAGTAGGAACTGCTCTCTGGGGTGGATTAAGACTTAGAGATGTACTTTAAATGGCTTAAATAGATTAAAAGAAAGCACTCTTCATAGAGTTTTATGGAGAAGATATTATTCATGGAACGGATAGCTAAAACTACTCAATTGCATTACCATATAAAGTATGTATGTCTAAAAAATCAGATATCTTATTGGCATACGAAATGAATGGAGAAATTCTCCCAAAGGATCATGGATATCCTTTAAGACTTATATGCCCAGGAATGATCGGAGCTAAGAGTGTGAAATGGCTTTCAAGAATTATGGTTTTAGATTCAGAGAGTCCAAGCAGGTTCTAACAACAAGAGTATAAACTATATCCAAGTAATATAACATCACAGACTATGTGCAATGTTTGGTAGAATACTCCTTAATTGATGCACTTGAATATTGATTGTATATTTACCAATCTGTAGGATGGTGATGTAGTTCCATCGAATCAAAGATTTGTTATTTAAGGATTTGCTATTGCAGGTCAAGGCAACTTAATATCAAGAGTTGAGATTACTTTTGATCAAGGAAAGACTTGGGATATCTGTAAAATTACTAACACTAAGAGTAAAAAGTCTGTTGAACTAGATGAATCTTAGATGAAATGGGAATGGACTACATGGGAGTATGTTCTTGAACATGGTCTTAAACAGGAATCTTGGGTAATGGTCAGAGCATTTGATGAATGCTTTAATACTTAGCCAGAGATAATTGACATGCTTTGGAATTTCAAGGGATATATGAATAACTCAATTCAGAAGCTCAAGATTTATCCTTAGATTTTGCCTCCCATCCAAGTTATTAGAGAAAGAATGCTTTAGGATTGATATATACTAAAATTTTTAATCTTAATTTCATAAGCAAATTTAATTTTACCTTGGTTATAATAACTATTAAAAATGTTGTCCGGAATAAAGTTTGCCAAAAAGGATTAAGATAAGTAAGTACCAGCAGCAGCAACAGATGGAAAAAATGATAGAAAAACTGCAATATAAGAGGCACTGGACAGAGATCTAAATAAGAATAAAAATCACCTATCATTAGATTCTGACAATTCTAAAAGTATTGAATAAATCATTATAGAATTTATAATTTATAGAAAGATGGTAGAAACAACAAGATAAAGTTTCATCGATAGATAATATAGGAGATGACAGACAAAAAATTGTAGATGATTAAGAATTGCCTGTGAATCGTAGAAATTATGATAAGAAAGAGTAACCATAACAAGATCCAATCAAGCTTTGCGACGATGCTCTTGATCTATTTCTCAGGGGAAGCTTTTAAAAATTCACAAAAATCATAGACAGTCTGGAACAAATCAAGATCTCAAATGTGCGAGATATTTTAAACTAGCATGATAATTAAATGATCTAAACAGGCTAAGACAATTTTAACGAGAAGTTTAGAAATCAAATGTCAGGTGGGGATTTCCTTGGAGATGAGGAGGAAGAAAAATCAGATGTTGAGATAGATAACCCAGTCTCGCACTTATCAGCTCATATGTAGTACAAAAATTTTCAGAGTCAATTGTCCTCAGGAAATATGGATAATGAAATGCATCGTGAAATGCTTATTCAAAAGAGAAATCTACTCATGAAAATTAGGTAAAATGATAATGAGTATAAGAAGTTTGATTTTAAAAATGAGGGTAATGATGGAGAACTGATTTAAAAGAAAATGAGGAAAGGCTAAGAAGAGAAATATGAGAAACGAGAGGAAAAAAGATAAAATAAATATGCTTAAAAGCAGCAGAGGATTCTTAACAAATGCTCATAGTGCTATTTTTAAGAGGGTAAATTTGAAAGATAAACATTGATATCTGAGTCTGATAATGTTTATGTCTCAACACCCATAAGAACATCTCCAGTATATCCTCAAGGTTAAGATCACATATCTCATGTGATTATTTCTCCTAAGTAGCATTTCGTGAACTACTTAGAAGTAGATGAGTAGGTATAAGATGAGTACAGAAATTATCAGAAATCGATAGCTTAATATTTCCTCGAATAATTTAAGATGACTACTGTCTTTATAGAAACAAGCATTTAGTCTGAGCATAACTTACCACATGCCTAGATTGATTGTATCGGAATTCCTAGTGATGTTGAAATGGAATTTGATCTTGAAGTATATTTCAAAAAGTCACTAATGGATGATGACAGTGAATGGGGAAGTCATAAAAAAATCATCGACACTAAATAAAGTTAAGGTAAAATATGGAAATGCCTCCCAAGTTCAGGAGTCTTTAACTATGTCCATATTGATTTTGGAGGATAAGGTGGCTTTGCTCACATTATCGATGATGCTAGGAAATATAATCATCTAAAGGCTCTTGAAGTTGTAGCTGGTGCAATTGGTCATGATCTGGTTAATCTTTCTATCCCTCTCAGATTAGATAAAGCTCAATAATATGCGAGAGACATTAAGAATAAATTTTCAAAGTTTGATTGGACAAAAGAAAGAAGATGATGAAATTCAGATTTATAAACAAAATAATAATTAATTTCAATTCAATTCGAGATTAGTCTAGCTCAATAATTTAGGGGTTTTGGGGTTTTGGGG